ATGAGAGCATGTAAACATCTGACCAGCACCATAAATTACAGGTCTTTACAGGAGCAGTTCAAATTTGAGAATCAGCACAAGAGACAGAAAAGTTGTTCTGGCTCCTGCAGTGAGAATGAGAAGCAAGACCATTTTTTTCTATCCCTAAGTGTCGTGTACCCATTAACCACAACCACAAAAGTGCCACTCAGCAACATGTGAGCCTCTGGACAGCTGCAACATGTACTTCAGGTATAATGGCTAGTGTGATCTCTGAGGTTGCACAATTGAAAAAAAAGAGCAGTTCAAGCTTTGTTGGTGGCCCAATTGCAATTCCACTTTGACCTTTCCGCTATATGACCTTGTTACATGGAACACCATCAGATCCTACAAAGAAGAGTTGTCTTCTTTCTAAAAAGTAAAAAGGCAACTGCAAGGCATTGAGGAACCTTAATATATACGTTTTCCATCCCATGAAATTATTTACGTAATTATCCATCTTGCTAAGTTGTTTGTACTAAGATTTAGAAGACACTTAGCAATAGTTCTGACATTATCATTTGAAAAATCTCACTAGTAAATTACATGATCTGAACATTAATCGGGAAAAAAAAATAATAGTGTCTCCTACGCTCACTACTATGAAAGATCACTGCATATTATAATTGTGGTTGTAATGTTTTCAGGACCTAAATTACAGAATGTTTCAATCAGTGAGTGGTTGCAGGCTAGCAGCCAAGCATCAGATTCTGATTATCAAATCTGTCCACACATGACATCATGTATACATACAGAGTGTGGTTAGCAGTCTGCTGGCTCTCATACATCTACAGTGTCGGGGAATGCTTCTCATTATCCCCCTTGCTTAAATGTCACATCCTGACTCACTCTATAATTAACATTAGAAAGGAGCTTGTAACACTGAAAATAGCACACTCTAATATGTTTGAGCTCTAGTTGAAGGCAAAAGCTGTTGGCTTCTGTGCCCTAAGTTGTGGCTTGAGGAATGTCTAGTCATGATTTCTTTAGTTTTCATGGTTTGGTCTTAAAAGGATATCTTAGAGTCCATTGTGCTGAAGCCAGTGGGAAAGGTCTTACTCTGCAGTCAGTGGGAACAATACCAGTTACTGTGTTCAGTAATCTTGGCTTGCGAAGAGGTGTTGTTTATTCTTTCTTCTGGACTAAACTGAGATCACTGCTGTTTGAAAATAAATGTCAATGACCTTGTCACAGGCACCTCATTGATGAATCACTAGAAAATGAGAGAAAACATTCAGAAAAATACAGCTAAGAGTGGTCATCTGATTGAGAAACAGCTTCTGTCTGATTACTGGAACCTGGATCATGCATAGAAAAATAACTTTTTTCATAAGATCTCATAAACTACTTTCACTTGACCAAAAAATAATTCTATATTAATTCTTACACATGTTGTGTAATGTCCTTCCAAATTCCACAAAAATATTTTGGGAACATAATTCAGTTATATGTGGATGTAAATGTAATATCTGCTGAAGCACTTAATGTACATTTTATATTTCTGCAGAGCTGGTGTAAGATTAGTGGGATTTTGTGGAAATAAAGCTTTGACAAACCAATCAGAGCATGGTCTTTTTTTTTTCCCAAATGGAGCAGCCTGTGGCTTTTATAACTTAAAAAGGTAAAGTAAAGTTCCTTTTTTCCTTTCAAATTAACCACAAAACCACAATTTCCACAGGGCTGTCCTCTCAGACAGTCAGTCTCACCTCTACAGTCCCACCTGTAGAGGAAAGGGTAAGACAACTGTCTGGATCTTGTGACTCATAATATCCACAGCTGAAATACCTTCCACTTGCTTTCATTGGTGCAGCTGTAAATCTCTTTACACATGTTTTAGTGTCATGCCACAGCTTGTCTATGAAATGCAGTACATCAACAATGTGGCTGTGAAGAAAATGATCAACAGGGATGATTCACAACAACTGAAATTAGCAACAAACAAAATGGTGAGAAACTTTTTCCAAAAAAGATGGGCTATATCAACTGTTCATTTAATAATAATTTTGTAAAACATGAGAAAACAATTTATGGAAAAATGTACCATGTATTCTTTTACCCTCTGGCTGATGGCTTGAAGTCTAAAAACAGGCAATGTATGAAATTTTAAATAAGTATCTACCTGAGTAAATTACAGATTTGCGCTATAGAAGATGTTGCTCTAAAGATAATGTATGTATGTATATTACAGTGAATCATATGCAGTCATATAGTTTCTAATGCATACTGCATATATTCTTATGACAAATTGTAAACACACTAACGCATTACAGGAGTGGATCCTGCTTAATCTTGAGGGTTTTATCTTTTCCAGTAGCAGATGTGTGTTACCACAGAGAGCTATAACAAGGGCCAAAATTAAGGAAGAGACACTGAAGAATAAACTAAATAACTTACCAAAACCACTGACATTAAAACAATTTTTTCACTTCATGAGGTCAAAAGCATTTTCCCCAAGCTAATATCCTATGTCTGCAAGAAAATAACCTATTGTATTAACTGCGATAGCTATCCTGGGAAGGGGAAGACAACTTTCTTACCCTTTCAATTTGCACTTTTTAAAAACTTAAATATTTGAAGTCAGACTACATGGCATAAATAGAAGTTTCATTCTCTATATATGCCTAATATCGGGGCCTAAATGCATATCATACTATAGTTTTTTAAATTTTTTTCTGAAGTTCATGCAAAATTTGGATTATCTTCAATGTGTGCTCACTAAAGATGAGCTTTATGTGTTTTTTGTATTGGCCAGCACTATCAGTACTGTCCTATGTAAATTTCATTTTCTAATTTTGAAGCAAAGATCTTTGAGTTCAGGAAAATAATTATGTAATGATGTAATTTGACACAAAAATAACTATCAACATGACCACTTGATCTATTTAATCAGTTTTGATTCAGTAAATTATTTGTTTCTTTATTGTAATATTTCCTCGAGTGAACAATGTGTAATAAATGCTCCCATCTTTGTTAAATTTTCCTACTAAACTTACTTATATAGGTTCACAATGGTGGTTTTGAGACATTAGTGTTCTTGGTAGTTTGAACAGAACAGCTAACACTAATACATTTGCTGTCCTCTGGATTTACTTTGAACATAATCAAGATTCTACTTAAACACTGGAGCTTACAATAAGATCCAAATGAATTAATTGAAAGAACATGATTAAAATGACTAAATATACCAGTTTAAAAACAGAATGTTCCCACAAAAGAAACTATAATGAAAAAGAAAATAATTAGACAATAAACAATACAGCTAAGTATAATAAATTTTATGTTATTTCAGCCTTTTTCTCTCCCTTTCTCAGATACTAAAATCTACTTGAGCATGAAGTTGTGCTCCAGCGACTGTGTCTCTGTAAACAACGTCTAGTTAGAACGCAAAGCTTTACATTTCCATAATGTTTAGTAAAGCCTGCTGCTTTGAACTCTGAGCGGAAATAGAAAAACTGGATGACAGTTTCTTGCAACTGTTGGAAAAAGATTTCTAACTGTTGCCACATGTCCAAGCAGACATCACAACATGTAGTAGCCAAAAGCCTAACAAGCACAAGTTTATGCCTTGTGGTTAGCCATGAGATTCATAAATGAAATGACGATACAGTTCTGTGTAGCTGCCAGGAGTGATGTTCTGTTTGGACATCTTTACATGTGTGCTCAGTTTCTATATGTTATGTTTATGATACAGCAGTTACAAAGAAAACAAATGGCAGCAGGTATATTTTAGTCCTCATAAGTTAATTAGTTTTAGTGATTTTCCTATTTCACTTCCAGTTTTGAGTAAGTTTCACTTCTAACAGAACTGACTCACCTTACACAGTTTTTTCGGTAATTTAGCAACTCTTTAAAACCAACAGAACTTTAAACTATCCACCTTCTAATCAGACTTATCCTTGCAGGGTCACAAAGGCAGTGCTGGTACCTTTCTCCAGCAGTCATCTATCAATAGGTGGAGTGTGCCTTGGACTTTTTCCATATATTTTATTGGTTCGATGGGTAAAACTCAACATTTATGTCCATGTTTTTATTCATAGATTTTTTTTTAATGAGATAATTTACTATAATTTACTATAACTTTTCTGTCTGTCGTCAAGTACTTTTTCTGAACTAGAAAATTTTCATGATAACAGAATGTTAATGTAGCAACACTAATGACAAAAACCAACAGTAAAAATGATGTAAGGCCATAAAGACCCAAAACAGCTCAGTGTCCACAGAGATCTTTGTGTGAAGCCATAAAGCCCTACAAGGTAGAAATTAATATTAGCTCTCTCCTGTGTCTTGACACATCTGTGAACTAAAATTAAAAATGAGAACACTGGCGCTTCTGCTGACTGCATCAGTGCAGATGGCAGAAGATTATTACTGTGCCATCATCTCATGTGAGAACAGAAGATCCTCTGCTGATATCTTGACACGTACTGCAGGACACTTACTTACTTAGGTAAAAGTCCATGTTTTGACAGACACAAGAGGAAGTAAAGTAAAATTAGGCAGGTGGTTTTAATCTGGTGGACATTCAGCGTACATTGAAAACACAAGACATTGCAAAACATAATGTCTCCCTCAATCAAATGGTTATCATTTGTCATTCTTGTGTGAGAAGATAAATTATCTTTGGCAAGCTGCTGAGTAACAGTGATAAATCAGCAGGGAGAATATATACTTTAGAGTTTGAGGAGAGATGGTGTTGGAGAAGCTGAGGGGTCAGATCACAGTATGTTTTCAAGGAACTTCTCACTTACAGACTCAACTTATTCCTTCACCAACTTTGAGACTTGGCTAAGAGATTAACCAAAATTATTCATCTCACTTAAACTCAGTTGCTCCAGTCAAGAATAATAATAAATAAATAAATAAATAACAAATAAACTGACACAACTGATTTATAACAATGTGCAGGGCACAGCTGTGATAAATCCAAGAATTTGTGAAGTAAAATGAGTGACTGTCACTGACCTCCTTCTCTCTCTGGTCAGGTTTGGCCTCTGGCTGTTTTTACAGCCAACTGGACACAGGCTTTCCGCAAAAACCTGTTGCAAGAGGGTAAAAGTCTACTTGGAACGTGTCCATTTAGGGAAAAATGGGAGATATCAGCTGTTGCCAGAACGGTAAGTGGAAACACATGCGCTTGACAGGAAGAAGCCTGTGAGCTGGACCAAAAGAAACTGAAGCAGCTACTGCATCTAATCCTTCTTTATCAAATGAACAATTTGCATTCCTAAAATTTTACAATAAAATCAAAGCACATGTGATGATCTGAGTCCATCCTTTGCACTCATAAATATTTTTTTTTCCTTAACTGACCGTTTTTCTTTTTTATTTTGCTTAAATATATTTTTACAGATCCCTGCATAATTTATCTACTCCTCTCTAAAAGGTGTTTATATGCACAGCACTTCTCATAACTAAAACCATAAACCTGTGGCAGGAACATGGAGGTTGTCTGATTTCAACATGACATCACCTAGCAGACACTGTACACCATGTTAACAACAGCTGTAACTACTATTAACAGTCATCAGAACTGTAGAAGCAACTATTACTTATTTTTTTTCTCCACCGTTTATCAACATGACTGAGACGATGAGGTAATAACACCCCAAAGTCCTTCTTTCAAATATTTGGTGTACAGCCCAACATGCCTGGTGACAAATTTTAAATGGAACATTTAATGGTTTTGCTTCTCCCCTTTTCTTTCTTTTTTTTTTTTTCAAAAGCTGATTTTCATGGGTTTAGGAATAGTAATTGTCTTGTGAAAATTTCCTTCCAGGCGACTATGGATCTCTGCAGATTTTTCAGTTAATGTTCAATTTCGCTAGACATGCTTATTTTGGGATTACATTATTTGTGTTAAAAAAAAAAAAAGCCTAAAGAGGGCATCCTCGTGTGGAAGTTAAAAGGTGGCACAAGAACTTGTTTTCCACAGTTAAAATTAGCTTTCAGTTAACCAGATTGCATATTGTTGCAGGGACACTTTAAACCACGCTGCACACTGCCTCCCAAAAACCCACCACAATAGTGCCCACCACTATTGTAAAACAAAAAGACATCAGCATAACAGTCCAGTTTTCAGATCTTTACACTGGCTACCTGTTAGTCAAAGGGGCTCAAAGAATAGAATTTAAAATTTTATTAACAGTTCATAAAGAAGTCACTAATAAAAGCCCTGACTACATTTCTGATCTTCTGACCTGATGAAGCACAGAGACCAGTAGGATGGTGTAAATCAAATTCTCTCATCCTTCCAAGAGTTAGAAGTGAACACAACGAACCAAATTCAGCTTTTATGCACCAAATTTTTGAAATAAGTTTCCTGTTCACTGTAAGAGTGCTTCCACCCCAGTTGAGCAGACATGGTCAAAAACCTTTTTATTTGCTATGGCCTACTCTTAAAATATTATGTTTATTTACGTATTTATTAATTTACTGACCTGATTCCATTGAATCTGAATAGTTTTAATCTGTTTGATGTCTTTTTTTTTCATTTAGATGTTTTTAACCTCCTTGTACAAGCACTTTGAATTGTCATTGGGTGAAAGGTGCTATATAAATAAAGTTGAGTTGCCGTTCAGTCCCTTTAGTTATTAAATTCCCTTTCCTTACTTTCACTTACTCATAGTCGACATAAAACTAAAACTTTCCCAATCTGGTCCAGGATTTTACAGTGTTCATGTTGTTATAAGTTAAATAAGCCAACCCTTTAATTTATTTGGACTGTACTTCTGGTGTATTGCATTTGAATTTGGAAGATGGAAATTTTGAGGTCCAAGTCATAAAATTCAAACTGGGACAACCCTCATGGTGTGGATTCCCACCTGGCGTGCCACCTTAAAATCTAACATGACTGCTTTCTGTGTGTGAGTGGTGAGAGCTGCCATAACTAACAATTTATTTGCACATTTGTATTTCATGGAACCGTTCGGACACATACTGTTATCCAATAGCATCTGAGGAGAAAATCAGCCTGGCTTTAATTCGGATTGTAGAACTGCAGCAGCAGCCATATTGACTTTATTAATGTTTTGGAGAAGATTGTACAGTCCTGGCCGAACTTTCAAAAGCATTTGATGATCTTGATCATAAGCTGCTGGAAAATCAAGAATATTTGTTTGGGTGGGAGAGTTTAAGGCCGGTACAGATTCCTGTAAAAAAAAAAAAAAACATGTTTTGTGAGATGAAATTAGAGCCAGTTTTAGAGAACTTTGAAAAGAGCTCCCCAAAGCTAGATATCATGTCAGGTTTTATTTTTCTTTTTTAACAACATTTGTGATATCATGTTTGAAGTACTTTTAGGCCGCTATTGGCAGCATTCTTTATTTTTGTATATTTGGTTAAACTATTACAGGCATCACTGTTACATTGGTTCATGTGATTCAACAAAAAATGTCATTGCCTATTTTACTAATTTGCATGTTAAATACGTACATTTATATCAATTATATGTAGTCAAATGAATAACTTCTCCTTTATTTGGAACCTGCTTAACAGCAAAATCACAAATACCTGTGAATTACGGGTTTAATATGTAGTTTAAGAGAAATAGAAAGCACTCTCCCTACATCTTTAATTGTCTTTAAGAGGTAGAGTCATTGCACAGTCTGTCCAAGAAGAACAATCTGTACTTTCAGCTAATTTGTGCATGTGCTAAAAGGAATATTTCCAGGAAGGGTGTTTTTTTTTTCTTTTTCTTTTTGTATTTCATTGTAATTGTAAACATAGTGTATGATTTAAAAAAAGGGGGAAAAAAAAGAAATAAAGGTAAAAATAGCTTAATTTCATTCTGGTCATCTGCTTGTGGAAACAAAAAATAAGTCATGGTAGGTATGGTAAGGTAATTTTATTTATAGAGCACATTTTCAGCGACAAGGCAGTTCAAAATTCTTCTTCTCAAGTAATTGTATCTGCCCTTGTAAAGTTATGACCGAGTATTAGGATCATAGTAAAAATAAATAAATAAATAGTTAGAAGAATAAAGTGATAAAATTATGAGAATAAAGTAGTAAAATTAAGACAATTAATTAAATTGTATTACTAGAAAAAGTCATAATGTTACAAAAATAAGGTCACAATTTTATCACCATCTCAAAATAGTGCAACTCGTATCACTTGGACTTAAATGTATGACTTTAGTCTTGTACTTTTATGACTTTATTCCCATAACTGATTTATTTTTATTTTCTTAGCGTGGCTTTTAATCTCTAATATAAAATAATCAAAGAGGAGGAAAGATAGAGTAATCCATTTGTGTTTCTCATGCATGCATTTTTTTTTACTAAATCATATTGTTTGAACTAAATTATGACAATTATTATTCATTAAGAGACTTACAACTTTGCCTAGAAAAAATGTCATATTGTAAGAAGCAGTGTTTAAATTGATATAAATAAATACGTTATACTTCATTAGTTTACATTGTAAGAATAATCCAGAAGAATTTCTTCAGTCAATGTGCAAATAAACTAACAATGTGATCAAATTTTATGAGTTACTGGTCCGATTTGTCTTCTACAAGTAGTGAGCTTATGAATGAGTGAGAGTGACAATAAACAAAGTGTGAAATATATACTGATCCGGCACGAATAAAAACAGAAACCACGTTATTTGCAAATGAACTGGAGAATAAGTTAATGCAGGTGGCTGATTAGATTAGATTAATCTACTCTTTGACTTCAAAGATTTATTATGTATGTGGTGGGGGCGGTGAAAACCACATGAATGCTGAGTTGTAGTGAAACGATTGAAAGAAGAAACAAAGAAAAGTTAAGAAAGCACATGAATGGAAATGTGAATGCTAATCAACCCAAAGGAGGTTAAAGAGCTATGGAAGTATGCTCAAACCTTATTATTCAACACCACTCACAAGACCAGCACCTTAAAATGAGTTGTCAAGAACTGTTGTCATAAATACGTGGACAAAGCCCCGGGTTCTGCCAAGAGCCCATGCTGATGTTTCCCCTCCTTGCTCTTTGTGTTTGGGACATGGCACATGCAGGAAAACTCCCAAGTTGAAGAGAGTAAAACACCAATCTGAACGTTATTCATTTTTTGTAGGGTGTAGCTAAATTGGGGTATTTCAGTCAAATTTATGTGTGATGGTTGAAAGACACAGAGCAGCATTTTATTTTATTTTTTACCATTTGCAGCTGAACAATAAGAGGACCCACACACCCTCACATAAAAGTGCATGGTAGAAATCCAGATAGATTATGTTTACTGTCTCAAAATACCTCTAAAACATTACAAAAGCTCTACAGATACTAGAGTCAGTGGCACAAATATATTGTTAAAAAAATTTTAAATAAGGTTTCATTGTGTTTGGTAAAGTTTAAAAATCAAACAAAGGCTAGTTATTGAGAATAAACTACTTTCACAAGGTTTTTGAAAGGAAAAGTGGTTCAGATCAGGCAATAATAAAAAAAACATGTGGGCTCTAGAACAGTTTACTATTCAAAGGCTGGACCACTGCATTTTTAAGTTTTAAAAGTATTACAGAATACAAGACAAAGCACAAAAGGTCTGCAAAAGAACTGTGCATGTGGTGTACAAGAGGTTTTTTGATGCAACCTATGTATACTGCATTTTGAGAAAATTGTAGTTGATTTGAAAGAAGAGCTATGTATTCAACATGTTCAAATACACATTTTTTTATGAACTGTGTGATGATGTGGGAGCTCAGATGGAGTTAGCTCAACATTGTCCAAAATAACAAAACAAAACAAACCATCATTCTCCTACTGCTTCCAGTCATCTTCTTTATTCTTTTTGCCATATGAAGCATCCCACTGTTGAACATGTGACTCATGTAATGTGAAGAAAGAGTTTCAGTATGGCTAAGAAACAACCCCATCCCTGCAAAAATTGCTATTTATATTTTTTAATTGCCATGTTTTCATTAAACAAATTTATTTTGGTTATTTCAAATTGCAAAATTTTACATCACATTGCTGTATTACAGTTTGAACTGTAACACTGCAGTTTAGAACCAAGCAAAGACCACTATTTAATATCTTAAACCATATAATTAACAGCAAATGTACTTTCCATTTACCTTGACAGCACGACTTTCTAAATAGATAACATGTTCTGTAGGCTCAGTTAAGCTCAGTTCATCTGGAAATCACACACTTCATTCATCCAATATTTTCCTCTGCATCAAGGAGTTTGTGCTCATCCCTTAACCACTACTTTGGTAAAAGCTGCTCCACAGAGCTGACGTGAGTTTTTGCAGAGAAGACAGAGTCTGGATGTGGTCAAATGTGTGCTGCCAACTGTGACCAGATCAAGGTCAAAGAAACCTTTGCATTCATCCAGCTTCACTTAAATAAACGTCCACTCATACATACCCGCATGCTGAGTGTGGCAAGATCTTATGTTTTCCTGAGTGGGAATTAGACCAGAATCCCTGCTCACTCACTCCCCCTCACTCCTGCATCTGGCTGCATCATTACGCTCTACACACAAAAGAGATATTAAAGATGAAACTGGAGGCAAGTAGAATTACTGTATATCACTCAGATTACATGCTTAACTTAGTTTCAGGAGACTGTATCCAATGGAAAAGATTTCTGTTCTGTGCTATTCATTATGAATAACTACCAAAGCAATGAAACATGGTCTTGCCATTGGTTAAGCCATCATTATAAAATGTGTTTGCTTCCATTTATTCTTTTTCAACATTTAAAGCTGGAATGCCTGGCAAAGGACATAAGAACCCATATGCAAAACATTATTGGAAGCAAGCAAAAGATAATAAAATTGGACAAAAAGGCATATTACTAAATAGAAGACAAAAAGATCAACTACCCTATTTTACTGAAAAAGTTCAAAATATATGTGTGACAAAAGAAAAAATTATTAAAAATCAAACCCAGGACATGTGGTAACTACATGTCCTATTAAGCACTCAGAAAATAACCCACAAGAAACCTGTCAATTCTCGAAAGTGCATCGTAAAAAAAAAAGAAAACTTTACATTCCAGTTAATTTTTGAAAAGCAGGCACTTTATTTCTGTAAGATTG